TTCCTCGCACACTGTCATGTCAACCACGGTGTTCGTTTTTCCCTTATGCAGGTGCGTGCGTGTCTCATGCCTGAGCCTCTCAAGGAGATGCGCGTCAAAAATCAGTACCGAACTTTCAAGGAGATCCGCGCGGCTCAGGGTATCAAGATTGCAGCCAAGAATCTCGAGGTACGGCCTCTCGACCCCGTGTTTTCGAGATGTGAGACCTGTGCATTCACACACACCATAGTATCTACCCACAAGTCGTCTGTGGTTCGGTCGCTCTGTGCCATGTCCCCGTCTTGCCCTTGCCGTCCACTCTCATTTGTCGTATTTCTACACTACGATACTCGTATCTTAAAACGTATAACGCTCCTGTGACTATAGCTTATCTGTCCCATTCCTTCGCCCCTCTGCTTAGAATGCCGTGGCCGGTACTCAGTTGTACGTTGCGCGAAGCCCAGACGAAGTTCCCTACTACGAGCGATTAGTCAGGAGGGATCTGGAAGCAGTAAGTTATCGATTAACGTATGACAATAAGCGTTTGAATGGGCTCTGTTGTTCTGCTCATTAAGCGCGCGTGTCCTGCCTCCTTATGTTATCTAAGTAGACACATGCGTTTAACGGGTAATGTACTCTCCTGTGTGCCGTCGGTGTATTGGAGTTGTTGATCCTGTCCTGTCTTTTCTTATCGAAGTGCACAGGAAATCTGTAGCATAGTCTACTTCAGTCTACTGCATATAGCCACTTCAGGATACCTTGATAGTGATAATTTCTCTTTCTATTAATCTTGCAAATGCCATCTATAAGAGCGGTCTTTTGTCTTCTTATTCTCGTATATCGGCTGCCTGCCGAAGCCAGGCTCATCATGTATATACAACTACTTATGGACATCGTTCTATTCTTCTCCTTCTTTAGGCGCTGGCTGGCCTGCAAACCGAGGAGAGAGGTGTGTATGCTCAAGCGTCTACTCTGGGTGCCTTAGAAGCACTGCTGGTGTTCCTGAAGGACTCGAAGATTCCCGTTGCGGCCGTCAATATTGGGCCAGTGCATAGGAGAGATGTCATGAAGGCGTCCACACAGGTATTGGCTTGATACATGTATATGTGTGTGTTTATGTATGTGCATGTATATGTATGTGTATGCGTATATGTATATGTAAATGTATCTGTATGTTCTATTAAATACATATATATATATATATATATATAACAGGCATTGACGTGGTCTAAACACTAAGACCCTAAACCCC